TTCACTTTCGTGAATTAATGAGACACGACAAGTGTTTGTCGACCAGGCAGGTAATAACATCGACTTAATAAAGAGTAATTAGATTTAACCTACAGAATAGGGTGACGTAACTGATAGTTTGTATAAAAAGAAAATATGTAAAGAAACGGCTTAGTTGCTAAAGTACACGACTTTTAACCAGTAAGTTATGGGCTCGAACCCTGACCAATTTAATTTGGACTGGACAAGTTGGGTAGTATTAATAGACTTCATACACCATGACATTAAACAGTGTACATAAATCTGCACTTTTTTGATGAATTACATCACTACTCTTCTATTGAAAGAGAGTATATAATTTATCACGGAGAATTTTCTAACAAAGACGTACTCAATCTGAATATTTATGTTCATGAGCATCCAAAATAGAGCATATTACTAGGAGCCTTCTTAATAGTAAAAACATTTTCTTAGTTGTTCATTTTTTCACATTTCGAAGAAAAAGTTTCAATACAACACCATAAAATCGTCTTAATAATTTTCTTGATATTTTGAACTTATGAAGAGACATGATGATAATAGTATATTATTACTGTAAACAATCCTTAAAACTTTCATTACCTTTGTTTGGAAACTCTTGACTTCACTTTGTAAGCGTTTAATGATTTCATTGGATTTATTTATTTCCTCTGTATTCGAAGCTAAATGTTTCTCCAAATGTTGTATGTTACGACAATGTTGTTCTGATTGTTCAAGTAAATGCAACTAAACAAAAGAGAATATTATGAGCAACTGTATAATCTACATAAATTATCCGAACATTTTTCATTTAAAACCTTTTTATTAAAAATGCAATATATATACATTATGAAACAAACAGAATAATTAAGTAGGGAATTTGCTAAAGATACGCAAAACTATACAAAGATGAATGACGAACTTTCAAATTCTGTTAATTTAATGACGGCTGTATCCTCTATCCCGTAGAGACATCATTTTAGATATAGTATTGATATTCAAGGCTTCAACAAGTTCTGTTAAATTTAAGCATATTCGTAAATGAATAAATATAGGTTAGTCATGAAAACCAAAGATCAAAGGGGTGAAATGGATCATATATTTAATGATGCTTATCTAGGGAGAAGTGAGAACAAACATCTATAAAGTGAACGAGCACTTGGGAAACAAACTTTCAAAAAGTAGTAGTGTGGCGTGAGCTACTTATATTGATATGAGTAGTATATAACGTGAGTTAAAGGAACGTGATGTCTGGCAGCAGAAAATGGGGAAGATCAAGAAAGGAAGAGCGAGAACACAATGGAATTTGTGAGAAAACGCATGAACAATGGAATGGGAGACAACGGATTGGTGTTTGCAACAAAAACAGTCCAGTTTGGTTTGATGCATGAATATTTTGCAAATTGACAATTTACTATATGGTATTCAGATTTTATTGAGATAGTCTGTAATTGTCGTGTTAAATACTTTCGATTGTCCCCACCCGTGTTCTTGTTCATTACAGTAGGATTTTCATGAAAAAAGTTGTTAGGAGGCTTACAGTGTCCAATTCGTTAAACTTTTAACTGATTTATTACAGAATATCTAGAGGTTTTATGGAATAAATTATGTAGCTGGGCTGAAGAAACAGACTTCCCTTATCCCTATGTCAAATTATTAGATGTTAGTAGCGAGCATATCAATCGCTTGTTTATACGTGTCAACGTAATAACTAAGTTTAGTTGGTGTAGGAATACAATTACAAAGAAATTTATTATGCTCCATCTAATCATTTTAGTCTATAATTGCTGAAACTAACATAGTATTAACTATGGGTAGCCAGCCAGTTTACCTTTAGTCAAGACATTCACTTTCCCTTAAACCATATAGTTCCATGTTTAAAAACCTATTCTGTTAGTTATTAACCCACTTATTTTACTTGAATTGGTGCAAATGTTATGAAGACAATGCATGGAGGTCCTGTAAAAAAAGAATTGTCCGAGTTATAAGAATAATATAAGCAAAAAAATAAATTGTAATAAACCAATGTGTAGAAAACTGAATCTCCGATGATTCATGACTTGGCGTAAGTCGTTTCTTTTATCATTTCAGATATGATAAATATGCTTTTATTATCACAAAACTTCTACTGGATTTACTCGAAGTTAAAAATTCAAGTCTTGACAAAGATATCTAAAAACGGTTTGAGTTACTTGACCCAGTGAACCTGATTTTGTAGGCCAGGAATAAGCAAATATAAATGAGACCGAGACTACGAAGCTTTGATAGAATAGTGACTACGAGAATTCAAATTAATTTATTCTCTTGCCACCATACGTTGTAAAAAAGTACATTTATCAACTACAGAATAAATTCATAAAACGATAAGACAACTCGTTTTTAAAAAACCTTGGAAAACTGTAGCACCTTTTTGTTTGTACTTCACCGCAGTGATTTAATTGCTGTATTACTGCGTTCTAATGAAAAGGTAGCATAATTTAGAAAGTAAATGAATACGATTATATTGAACTAGATACAAATACTATGACTCAGAATTTTAAAAAATTTATGTAATGTGTAAATTTGTTATGACACATTACCTTTTGTTCGTGTTCTTTAGTTAACGAATTCTCTAAGTCCAGTATTTGTTTACCTTTGGTAATCATATTTTCTTCTAATATAGATATTTTACTTTGTAACTGATTAGCCATTTCCGTTTGTAGACCATATGCCCGGTTGGTTGTATCCAATTGAGAACGTACAACTAACAATAAAATTTAACATGTATAAACTAATGATAAGAATAAGTGGGACAGACTTCCAATTAATACGAAGATGAATATAGAATTTAAACGTCATTTACTTTTGCCAGGTAATGAAGACCAAACTATTTACAAAAAGATTAAAAAGAGAAACTTCGCCAGGAGATGCTGTTGTCCATTGTAAAAAATTCCTCGTAAAACACTTGATCATTCTGGTGGAGACCTAAATGACAAGAATAGAATGGACAACACCGAATATAAAGGCGTCGTAGGGCGATATGGACTGTTTAAAAGGGATGATAATGTAGTGAGACTGGCAGGTCTGTGTGCTTTCAACAACATCGTCATAAACGGCAGCATTTCTCCAATAAATGCATACACCGGACCACGCTACAGAAAACTAAATTGACCACATCCAACCAAGACATAAGAATAAGAAATGATGTAGCTTCGAATCGTCTTTGTGATGACCAAGCTAAAAAGGCAGTGAATAGTTGAACAAGCAGCATTACATAAGTTTGATATAACCTTAGCTGCTAAAAAGCTCTGTCAGTTCAGGATAACCCTCAGCAAAAACTTCTAAGTCTTACAATATCTAGAAAAAAGAAATCACTATAGATAGCAACTTGAGAAAAAGTAAAGAAGTAACACGTTGAACATCCCAAGAGGTGCTTAGAGCTAGCAAGCACCAATATAAAATGTATACTACACAGTCTGATTTCATTTGGGATTTAAAATTTTTGACTAGCAAATAAGATTTTCTAACTATTTACAATGAGGCACAAAAAATGCGCCGCATAAATGAAGGGTCGTACAATCTGTAAATAAATGAACAGGAGTGATAGTTTTTAAGGAAACAGATTTCAGCAGTTTTGTAGGAAAACAACAAAGAAGTACTTATTTCCGTTAATAAGAGATTGTTTTAGTTTTATGAATGTGATAAAGAACCACATTAAGATCGCCACAAGTTTATATATATATATATATATATATATATATATATATATAAAGCTTTGACAAAATTGATTAAAAACGGGTGAAACCTACTTTTGATATCTTCAGTTAAAGAAATATTTTCAGTTTCTGCAAACTTTAGTTTCTCCTGGAGTGTTTCTACACGTGTTTGAAGGACAGACTGTTGATCCCGTAGATTCTGCTCAACGAAAAACAAAAGACTTTTATTTCCTTATTTAACGAATCCCAGTAATGCCATAGATATGGATAAAACAATGTTAAAATCAAGGACGAGAATCGATCTACTTCATAACACTGAGACACATATTGGGTAGTCTAAAAGAAACTAAAAGGACTGAGAACTAGTGTGTTACGTTAGCGTAAACCGTGGTACTTTAACAAGAAAATGGTGGATGGGAACACCCAAGTAAAAACACCAAAACGATAGATGGGGACCAAGTTGACCCCCAAAACTAGTCAAAATAAGTAACTGAATATCATATTTATACCATATAGTTAAACGTCTATGACCAACAGATATAGCCAATAAGAGTACTTCTTTTTGAAATGTGATTAAACGTCACAGACGAATGGGGAAAGAAACCAACATAATAGGTTATAATGAGTCGAGGATTTCTACAATAAGAATGTCTACTGTAAGGGGAAAGTTAGGATGAGATATATCTTATAGTAGAAACGAGGTTTTTAGAAATACATAGGTATGTTTTCATCAACTCGACTACATTTGTAACAGCAAAACAAGAAACCCGAAAAATCACTAGACATGACACGGTTTATGAATAAACGGATTGCTAAATGAATATTTGGAAGTTCGAATACACAAAGATAATATTCGAAGGACTTAAATATGATGCAACATCAGGGCAAGGGAATCCAATGAAAAAAATAAACCTTTTAAAAAATTTAGCATACTAGTTGAATCACCTGTATTCGTATAATAGCAATCACATTTCTGTCAGTAACCAAGATATAGTACAAACAAACTAGTTAAAACAGAATTGGGTGATACTAGTAAATGGATATAATTAAGTCAATGGAAAAAGTAACTACCCCAAACGCCCTGGTATGGTCGATAGTGTGGAGAGTCAACTCTCGCACATGGCTACATGCATAAAACCACTGCCAAGGAAGTCCTTTTCGCTTCCTTCTCGCAGCAGGAGTGTTGTTTACGAAACTGAAAGAAAAGCAGATGTCTGGCACTTTAACCGGGTGGTGGAAACGGAGCACCCATCTAGGAGAGTTGGAAAACCCTGATTCCAAATCAATGGTGCACATGGGCTCTAGGATTCTGAGGGAACAAATAGGGCATGGAACTATTGTTGGTCACCGGCTACCATAGGAATGCATTTCCTAACATTTCTTCACTGCCTCGTGGTTTAGACCTTTAGGTCAAAGGCTCGGCGTGTAGCCCCCTAAGAAAACAACCTGCTTCGGTTTCGGTGCCCGGGCAGTATTTCAGCCCTCACACAAATCGAATAATTTATGTGGTGCATATCTATTTGGTGCCTTCTTGTACCAATATTTATGTGCGTTTGAATTAACATAAAACCTCTAAAGGTAAGTGACAGACTTTCGATATCTGACCATGTATTTTGATAAGTCCCATAAAAATTTAACAGTGCATTTTCATCTGTACGCCAGTGAAACATGAGTTCATACACTTGCTAATATTTCAGTGTTAATGTTTCCAAATAATTTTTTTCACCCACCGACCAATCCAGTCAAGTGCCCCATTAGGAGGTACGCTTGTTTGAAACCTGTGGAAGCATTAATATTTGATCGATGGATCGAAAATTTCTGACAGGATCTAAGTCCTCTCCCATAGATGACTGAAAACATGACACGTAACAGGCAAAACAAATTGGTTACGAAAATGAACTAGCTTCCCTGTGACCGTAAGTATAGAAATATGAAATCGAATCTACGATAGTCAGTGTCAAGTTCTGTTTTAAAAGTGGCAATGTTAACTTTTCTTGGGAAAACAAAATGAGTTTCAGCCAGTAGTCTCTTATAAATATATGAAAAAACTTAATAAGTCACCATAGACTACGTAGTTCAACTAATAAAAAGGAAGTAATTTATAACGGTCTCTTACTAAATACTCACTTTGTTATTGTTCAATGCTAAATCCAAACGACTTTTAAAGTCCTTTTGAAGCTCCTCTTGTATTTGATTGGCTAAATCTTTTTCTTTGGAAAGAGATTCTTCTAACTTCGTTTTTACCTAAGAATTTATAACTATTGACAAAAGGCTGAACCTCATCATGTTTCGATTGCAATTCCCTGATAGCAAACTCATTCTCGGAGCGAAGACTAAGTTCTTTAGCTGAACATGCTACTTTGAACGCTTGGAACTCGTCTTTTATTAACTTCGTACCCTAAAGGTGTAAAAAGGATGAAAAAACACACCTCCTCTGCAGATTTTAGAGACGACGTCAACTCGGATACAGAATGGCTAAGTTGCCTGATAATGGCATCGCTTTCAGCCTAAAAATAAAGTAAACCTACACAAGTACTTTATGTTTTTTTAAACGGCTTGCTAGAAATAGTTTAAGCTTTTCGTCATTAGCTGCATACAAATTGAGACTCAAATGGTGAAGATATTTGAAATTGGTGGCCTCAATTATTTGCAATAAACCGCGATCTCTTTCCTCAGTGTTTCTGGAAAACCGAAGTCCATATCTAAAATAAGTTGACAGGTATAACCAGCTTACTTCGGAGTTTCGATAGCCTCCTCTTGTGAACAAATGCACAAGAGATCTGCTACTTTTTGTTCAAATTCGTTGAAATTAATGAGCAACCCTTGCTGCTGTTTAATTCTATAAAAGTGATGAGATCGAAAGTGGAATCAGTACATACTCAGTAAACTCATCAACGGTAATTCTAGTGAAATAAAGAAAACAAAAGTCATCGTCATCTGTCAATCTTATTTCTAGATCCTGACTCGACATAAATCTAATCAAGTGAAGAGTTACCTTTTTTAGGTCTGAAGAACAACCTAGCTCGATATCTATGTTTAAGATTCTATTAACGATTGATAAGGATGAACTAGGACATTACCGGTCTTTTCCGTCAAAAGACACCAAATGACGACCTGAATAAAACATCAGGATAATGAAAGCTTCTTCTTATGAAGGTTTGTGTACAAAATGATAGGGGGTTGCTTTTAAGAATATCAACAAAAGTACGTCTCCGAAGGAATCTGGAAGCAAGGATATACAACACTTAGACCAATGACAAAACTGATACTTGAAAACTACTTGCATTAACAAATGAAAATATAGTAGAATGACAAACAATTTAAAGACAAGTAAAGAGAAACTCTAAGGATGAAGCTTCTTAATGAACCACATAAGTAATCAAACGACTAGCGCAGAAATATATCCCCGGCTTCGACCTTGAAATTTGAAAGTTTAAAACAAACAATTTACACACTGGACCGGTTTAAACAATGACGAAATTTTTACCAGCACCACCTGATTCACCTACTCCATCATTAAAAATATCTATGACGAGATATTAAAAATAACATACTTCATTCTTTTAGAATCTTTAAGGCTTATGTCCAATGGTAACGTAAAATGTTTAATCAGATCAGACAAGTATATTAATTTCAGCGGATAATGCAGTTTTCCCCAAATGAACATGTTCTGATGAAAAATGAATACCTTTTGTCCAGAGAGATAGATGGCTTGAACCAGCAGATATCAGGTAACAAAAGAGTTCATTAGGCAGTCATAAAAGGAAAGCTCTAAAATTGACATAGGAAAGAGTAAAAATAGGAAACAAGTCCAAGTTAAGTAAATAAACAAATTTAGCCAGACTTAACAAATACGGAAATACGTAAATGAAAGAATACATAAAAACGGAATTTGAACCAGTATGATAAGTAACAAAGTGGAATAGAGAGTCCCCACCAGGTTTTATGATCATTACGGAGACGTTTTGAAATCTTATATGTATTGCTGAACTAACCATCTGCCGTAATAGACGTGCCGTATTGTAAGAACCTCACAGGAACGCAGTATTCACCAACGGGACGTTTCACGAAGCCGTGAGTGGACCTAGTCTTTATTTAAATAGGGTTCTGTAGGCGCGTGCATGCTGATTTATACTTTCCAACGAATTACCTCCTACCCTTAGACTTATCTCAGTTTGTTGTCAATGCTAAGTGCAGCCAATTCTTTTTCAACCAATCTTTTGGAATGATAAATTTGTTGAACGGCAAAGCGAATGACTGGAATCCAAGAAGATACTCTAAAATGAAAACAATCTTGTAAGCGACCGCGGCATCGGTAGCTAGTCGCAATATGGCCATCATGAGCCCAGACTTAAGTTGAGGAGGGAAGACATGACAGTTCAGAAAGCTTGCGATCTGTGCAAATCTGTGGGAAACTGTCTCCATTATCCGAGCTGGGATCAATGAGTTGCCATCGCTTTCAGTCCGCTACAACGTAGGTCCAGGCACATATATGCATCAGTCTAAGTTGCCACACCTCAATAGTACAAGCTGGACACCGAATTCATAGAAACAGTTACTTTGACGGTAGCAAAATAATCAGAGTATAGGTGAACACAACGAGAAGACATTGTTTTCCACATCGTTGCGAGACGTTAGTCTTAGTCGTAAATGTCCGTTGTTCGATCAGTTTCGATGTATGAACGTTGTGGATAGAAATTTTAAAAGACGTACACTATTGCAGGATAGGTACATGAACTCTTCCGCCCGAGGAAAACCTTCGATAGGCAATAATCTGGCAATGTGAGATCAATCAATTTAGATTACTCAGGTGGCATATTTCTGTTTGAGTAAGACGTCAGTGAAATGAACTCGTCTGAATGTATTGAGGACTACATTAGTGTTAGCTGGGTCTCCAACAATTCGAAATGCTTTAGAACTACAGTGGGTCAGTTTTTAGTCTGAACATATGGAGGTAAGTAGTTCAGCACACTGACGATACTCACCTTGGCAGCTCCATTGGTATTGGGCGATAGAAAGACGACAGAATTTTGACACGGATGAAAACCTTGTTTGGATTTTGTAAACTTTCGTTACGTATGTTGAACAAACGGTGTCTGTCTGTCTGTAAACGAGCAAAGACGTTCCAAGGTACTTCGCTCTGTTTTCGCATATGGCTGTGCAACACTTTACTGGAGGTAGGTTCCTCAGTGTTATGGCATACGTTGAACAACAGTTGAACAGAGGTAAGAAAACGTGAGAAGTAAAAAGAACAAACAAATGACAATACTGCCCAATGAAATACTTTGGAGAGATTTCATAGTGTTCTTTCCGTTACAGACTTTCATGTAATTACTATCTCCAATTGTATGGAGCATCCCGTTACTGTTCAAACCAATGCCTTGCCTGTCGAGAAATAACTTCAACAATCTCCCCTACGTGTCATTGTGATTACTATCTTCTGCAATGCCTAAGGAATTAAGTAGTATCGTGAAGTACTCAATAATTTTAATGTTCATCTATAGAAATAGAAAGCGTCGATCTAAAAACAGCATACCCATTCTTCTAAACTTCGCTGCATCTTCGTTCATTTCGTTGATGAATGTAATTAGGGTGTCATATGAATATGTTAGATTCCCACTTTGCTTGCTCGTTGAAAATATTTAGAGCTACGTTTAAATTCTGCTCAACTGAAGAACATTTGACCTAGTAATTTCTGTAGAAAACGTACATGTCTACAGAATCCAAATTGGAACTCGTTGATTCAATAGTACTATTATCAGCACCGAAACAACTTAGAAGTTTTATTTTACTACACAACACATAACAACAATCAATAACTAAGTGAGATACAAATAAGAATGTTTTTAAGACTATTCAATGGTCGAAAATGCATGTATACCAGGGAATCAAGGCAGCATACAAACTAGTAGTTCGAGCACAGAATGCTTGTTGTCACTTCAGTCTTTCAACGCCAGGTAAACTAAAGTGAGGTAGTTTAAAACAGAGAGTGACTTTTAACTCAAGCCAAACCATTAAAGTATAGGGCTGGAAATATTCAAGATCAAAGATATGAACAAAAAAGTTTATAGTTCGAACAAACAATTGAGATTGTTGAGGTTCAATATAACAATTGATCAGTCAATACTTTCATTTCTTCTCATAACACTATGACCCCCGCCTTTGAAGAACAGATGGCATTGAATAAGAGTAATCGTGGCTGAAGGCGGTCATGAAGAGCACTTCAAACTAATTTTTACTATCGAAACTGACGGACATGAGTTCAATGCCAAATGATGATAAAGCTACTTAATCTAGTGTGATTTTACTCACCTTAAGAAGTACTTTGCGTGTTATGACTGTTACTTTTGAAATGCTCTCAATTATCCTCACAACTGAGCTGTGGCATGTTATTACCAGCATTTAGTGGACAACTTAGATAACTAATTGTTTTTAATGCTTTAGTTGTGTTAGAAACCCTCGGTAGATAACGACCTATCTTCATTCTATTTGAAAATAGGGCCTCCGAATCTAACAATCTGATACTTAATATTTGTGTTGTGATTTATGCCATTAATTTCCTATCCATATGAAATTTTTTTATCTTTTTTTTGTTTCTCATTAAAATCCATTCCACAGTTTTTGTTCTTCTCAACAACTATTGGTCACCAAATTTTATCCGTAATTCTATCAGTAATACCACTTTAAATAGCTTTATTCTACTTTCCAAAATGATCTTGACCTTATAAATAGTAATCAGATAAAGCGATATCGGGATAATATAACAGTTATGCATTAAACCACACCTCGTCTGAACATTTAGAAACCTTGATGTTTGCCTGATTTCAGAGAATTGTTCAATGAGTAAAACGAGTTGTTTTAAACTTCAGCAGATTGAGAACCTACTTTCGAAGCTGAGAAATCAAGTAAAACAAGGAAAAAGGTTAGTTCACTCACTTGGCATTGAATTCGTTCATTAAAACTTGAATTTGACCTAGAAGGCGCGTTTCATTGGCCTTCAGATTATGATGTTACGAGAGATCCAAGATGCGCTGGGTGGGAAGTCACCGTATGTTTTTACGTGTTTGTAAAGATTTATTTCCACAGAACTGTTCATGAAGAAAAAAATAAAAGGTTTTGGAAGTGTCCTCAACCAAACTGTCACGGCCTTGCTTGTCCCACTGACTTCAGGTGTACTATGTGCAACAAAGTTATTGATTTATCTGATACCTCTCTGAAGTCTTCTGCTAAAACAGAACCTGTCATACCATCATCCAATGGCACACCATCGGTGAAGAGATCAAGGATGGCCAACAACAACCACCTTGTTCCTCTTAACATATTCAGTATCGGAAGGTCAGGGATTTTTGATGGCCGTGCTGAAGATTGTTGCATCAGTTCAACTTCCATTTCATGCAAAGTTAAAGTAGAAGGTAAGCCTTTTACGTATTCTATTTCCCAGGCGTGTGGACTAGTGTCACCATCCAATACAATAATATGGAAATGCTTGTTTTCTGCGAAACCCTCCAAGTGATTTTCGTCAAACCATCTATTTCTTTCAAGACACAGCTTTCTGAATTGCTTAGAATCAAGGAATTCATTTTGCGTGAGTTTTTTGATCAGTTATCATATGATTTCATGCTGAGGAGCACTCATTTTCCATTACGTAACCGAACTCCATAATATTGTTTAGCTTCACCGAACAGTAAAGTGTTCATCATGCGTTAGTAATCTAGGTAACTAAACAGATATTGATCACCCAACTGTCGTGATGAGCTAGTAGTTCATATGTAAGCACTACTCTCTCTCTCTCTCGACGTTATATCATAAACTGACCTGACTACTAAATCCATGGACACCATGAGAACCAGTAGAATGACACGCTTAAAGTGGAATCAAACAGCATAAAATTTGTAATAGCAATAGGTTAAATCACTATGAATATAATAAGACATTCCCTACTCCATTACTTTTTACCTTATGTGGCTACTACTGGGTGTGATCTATTCATTGCAAACGATTATTCGATGCAAGCGAAAGCCCTTGTAACTCTTGGCACTCTGACCATACCCAGTATATATTGTACATGCAATCGCTTTTCACTAACCCACAAGGGTCTGTCCGGTTAGCACAATAGTGTTTTTTAGGTAATAAACATACCCATTCCACGTACTTCAAAGCTGCTTATAGGATATCAGTTTCATTATTAAAGATACATGAGTTTGTTTTCTTACCAGTTTGTAGGGATATGTCCTGTGTTCCTATTCAGTATTCTCCTAGAGCTTGACCAGCTGTACTAGGAAATATATTCTGTGTAATAGTCTCAAAAAGGGATAGTATACTGATTTGATCATCGTTACAGTTATTCTCTTCATCTGTCCGGAACTTTGAGCATAGTTCCATAGTCACAATTCTTTGTTCACGCCCTACTATATGATCGACCAATGTACGTACATTCATCAACCATCATCCTTCCTCGTTATTGTCGATATCAGTAATGAACATGCAGTAGTTAATTCATTCATTTCTGCCTCATTTGATTCCGTTTCTCTAACTGATCATAAACTTCTCAATATCTCAGCTACTCCTACAACAGATATAAACCATAATGCTCATAGAATGATTTAATACAAGAAGGATATCCACTGTTAAATATTTTGATTATTTGTAAATAGATTTGTAATTGATCTTCTACGATATTGGTTAGTTACATAGCCTGAAGAATTACAAGTTCTCTTTGCAGATCAGATCAATTATACTGTCACGATAACTTAGCTGCCCCAAATACCCTACTACCGTCTAGTGTATGCAGAGTCCACTCTCCCGAAATGCTCCCATATGACCACGCGAATATAGCCACTACCAGGCAAGTCCTACTCACTCCCTTCTCATGGCGGGGTGTTTATGAAATTGAAAGGACGAAAAGTGAACATCGGACACTTGAACCGGGTTAGTGAGCACGTCTGATCTACCTAGAAGAACTGGAAGACCGTAATCCCAAATCATTGGTGCATATAGGTTCCACGCTACTAAGGGAACAAATGACGTTTGAGCCTATTCATGACCACCGGCTATCAGAAGACCGCATCTCCTAACGTTGATTCACCGCCTTGTGGATTAAACCTCTGGGCTAAAGGCTTGAGATTAGCTGCCTAAGTAAATCATCTGCTTTGGTTTGGAGACCTGGACAGTATCCCAAACCACATAGATTTAGTGATAATTACCTTATGTGGTGCATATGTATTTTGATGCTCCTTTGTACTAATGTTTTTGTTCAAACATGATTAATATATAAACAATGTAATCCCTAGGTAAACTCACATTTGAAACATCCATTTTTAACCTCAGTCATGTTTTTAAGAATCTTCAAACTCACATGCTACACAACCAAATTATGTCCTCACTACCCGTTAGTATCCATTACTGTTGACAAAAGTCTAAAAATTAAAAATTTAACTTCTTTCTGACCCGTAAATAGGGTAATTTAGCACTGGTTAGTTCATCAAAATTCGTTGTAGCAAGCAGTGACTTAGTCTTTGTTGACTAGACCAAAAAGCGTTCAGTAATAACCGTTCTCCTTTAATCTTAATGAAATCCTTAGTTTTCTAACTACATGGTTTCTACTCATTATTTCGTCCACACAAAACTAATTTTGTTAGATTCTTTAATAAACATTTTTATTTAGGGAGGTAATTTTTTTGAAAGTGTTTTGATCATATGGTTTGACAAACCCTTCCCATTTATTCATTTTAAAGCAAGCGTCAAATGGTTAATTTTGGTATTCCGGGAACCATCTGCTAGCGACTTGTTGTATGTAACAGTAGATGATCTCGAAGGTTTAGCCAATCGAGTTCGTGAAAATGGATCTTGTGACATAAATTGTAGTGCAGAAAAGGCTAGAGAAATTCTTTCTAGTTGTGGCCTTCGTCTGCCACGTGCTGAATCTAAAAGGACTAATTCAACTTTTCGTGAGTCTCAGATTTCTAACCAAGTCGATCAAACTCAAACCAAGTCTGACAAGTATCCCATTTCAAATTTGGAATCTAGTTCATCCCAAGTTGACAAACACACAAATGAGGGAGGTCTGCTGACTGATGTGATAAATACTCTTACTCATTCCGGTATCCAACTGACAAATAACTCAAGTTCACTTCCTCAGGAAAGCGGAAATACTATCCAAGGAAAACTGACAATAGGTGAAGTAAGTTACAGGATCGTTTCACATATCGTAAATCCAATAGTAGTATAAACCTGTCCTAATTTTTGTGTGGTGTCGATATTGTTCATCCTCTTTTTTCGGCATGTTTTCACTCCTTAATTCGTTGACCACAAAATTTAGGTTATTCACTCATAATCTTGTTACATTTATCTCGCATTGTGTTACTTGTAATGGTGGATAAGTTTCTAGTTGAGTAGTTTATCCAAGATCGATGTTACAACTGTATTTTAATCATTGACGTACTGATTATGTTCTACATTATGAAGATATTTATGAATCTTAAATAAAAATGAAACAGCTGCACGTGACTTGCTGATTACCAGTGGTTACTGCCAGCCTGTACATAAAATTGTCTTCAATTAAGTCTTTCGTCCTCCTATTCATTGAATTTTTTAAAAATCGTAATTGTGCATAGTCGTTGCTACCACTTTCAGAAAACATTAAACTTCCTGGTTAGTGTGTTGCGCATCAGATTTCTATGTCTGGGATCCTACTAAGGACTTAGTTAATACTGTTTCCGAATGACATGTTAGATTTTTGTTTTCTTTGTATTTTTCATTCTTCTTAAAACTATCAGTATTGTAAACTGGCTTCTACAAAAACGCCTGTAACTCGTTGTTTCAGTCGTGATTAAGTACTTTTTTAATAGCAAATCATGTGATATGAAAACACTTGGTGTGGCGTGTTTTCAGCGAGATTGAATTGCCAATAATTCAGTTTATTAATCAAATTTAAACATTTTAGTGGCTCCGATCAACCTTCTGTATAATGTCTAAATAATCCTTTACAGCTTCCCGTGTTGAAAAGAAAGTGGATTTTTAGCTTAATGGACCTATCTTAATAGATCTAGTCCTCTGCTTTATCGATTGAATTTATACAAGTTGGTAGGTTGACTTAGGAGACTGGAATACTAAACGAGCCGAAATTTCGGTGAATTTGATATTACAGGTTGAAATCATGAGTCAGTCGAAGCTAGACCAGCATTGAAAACCTGGAAGCACTGGACGGCCGTCTCGCCCTAGCATGGGACTCCTCAGCAGTGCGCATCAACGAAACCGCCTCCTGCGGGACTCGAACCCAGGACCTACTGGCTTCTCGCGCGAGCACTTAACCATTAGACCATTGAGCCGCCACCCAATTGTGTTAATGTCTAGCTTCAACCAATCCACGAAGTTGCGCCATCGAACACCAATGTCTTCAGTGAGCTGATATCTCACAACAGACCTGGTTGAACTCCACTGGTGACGGCTTCTCACTAGAACTCCAGGAGGTTCTCCTGAGAGAGATCCTGTGAGATATCAGCTCACTGAAGACATTGGTGTTCGATGGCGCAACTTCGTGGATTGGTTGAAGTTAGACATTAACACCATTGGGTGCCGGCTCAGTGGTCTAGTGGTTAAGTGCTCGCGCACCGAGCCAGTAGGTCATGGGTTCGAGCCCCTCAGGAGGCGGGTTCGTGGATGCGTACTGCTGAGGAGTCCCATGCTAGGGCGAGACGGCCGTCCAGTGCTTCCAGGTTTTCAATGCTGGTCTAGCTTCAACTGACTCGTGATTTCAACCTGTGAAATTTACTAAAATCTCCACAAAACTCATTCTGATAATTTGATATTAGTCAGTTTTTTACCACCTAATAAACTGATCCTATTGATATCATGCTCTTTCTCCCAGGTAACTTAGGTAAGTCAAATGAACTGGTAGAATTCACGGTAAAAGTATTGAAATATACATTCTGTTAGCAAAAACAACTAGTGGTTTGCACTTGATTTTGTATGCCAACCTAATACTTTTAAAGTATTTGGCACATTAACTACTTACTAATTGTAAGTAATAGACTTTTTTCGGTGAAATATCCTCCCACTTCTGACCTCATCCTAAAGCACACTAGAAGTCTGTACTGACGTGTCCATTAATTGTAAAATATTAATTCACCTTTCTCGTCCTTAAATTTGAAAGAAATACATCGTCATGTTTACGTCAATACATGGCCATTTTCTATAGAGAAACTATCTTTTCAATGAGAATAGATTGTAATTATTATGCAACCATTTGATAAAACAAACGTTTGTTAGACAAGTGACAAAGTCCTTGATATCTTAAGTGACTGTGGATTGAGGACGGATGATGTTAAAGAAAAGCTGGTTCTTACCCGTAAAAGCATGTAGAAATTAAATCCCTAAATGACTGTCAGTCTTTCGATAAAAAGTTACGGAACCAAACGAATAGTAAATTGAACTTTTTTTGCATGATTTTCTCTTATCATTTTATAAAATAAAAACAATGCACTTATTGCAGTTATCGGGTAGTGCAGATTTTAATTAAGCTCGCTTTCTCTCTTAAGACATAGGCCTCTCATAAAGGACCAACAAAAAACTACCTTGTCCTCTCCTTTACAGTTGTTGCCAACTGCTGCTTAAGGTATCTTAAGGTATTCCTCCAGTTATCTGCACTGTGTTCTTTGATCTGCCTCTTCTTACTTCCGAATTACGGATCGCCTCGTGACGCAGTTTGATAATTTCTCTAATGTGTGTCATATCCTCTTCCAGAGTCTTTTCCTAATCCTCTCCAGTTGGAAGCTGGTTTGTTATCTGTCTCAGTAGGTTATTGCTGATGGACTCCGGTCAAGGGATCTGGAGTATCGTGCGTTGACAGCTGTTTATGAATATCTGTACCTTTTCAATTGTGGTTGTAGTAGTTCTCCAAGTTTCAGCTCAGTGCAATAGAAATCTTGAGGTTCGTATTGAAGATTATAACTTTGGTCTCGGGTGACGATTGTTTTCAGTTCCAGGTGATCTTCGGTTGTAGGGATATTGACCCTTGCTTTGCAAATACGTGTCTTCACGACTTCATAAGATCCCTCTTGTTTTTAAATGATACTCCCTAGGTACATAAAGGCACCCGCCTCTTCCGGAGCTTCTCCATCAAGTGCGATTCGGTTGGTGCTCGCTGTGTTATATTTAAAGGGTCTTGCTTTTTCCGTCGTAAATGTTGAGACATACTCCTGTCGAGGCGACTGCTGTTACACTGGCTATCTTTGTCTGCATCTGTTGCTGTGTATGTGATAACAATACTGAGTAATCTACAAAGTTCAAATCACTCAGCTGTGTTCAACATGTACAATGAATTCCGTGCTTTTCGTGAGATGTGGAGGTGTTGATAATCCAGTCAACAGCTAGTAGAGAGGGAAACTGTGAGAGTAAGCAGCCTTGTCTTGACACAAGTTGTAGGAGTTCCGTGTGATAGTGAAAATCTCAGGTGGTTTATAGTGTCAATTAAATTCTACAAGGTTATTCTATCCACGCTATCGAGTGCTGTTGTATCTTATCACCTTTGTGACTATTCAAATGGTCCTCTCGGTCTCTCACACTGCCTGGAGATGTCATGTTTTTATATAAATTGTTGTTTTACAGGTCTTAAGGAGCTTCAGCTTCTTGTCTTCCTGTGACTTGGCTTTCATTACGAGACATAATTTTTCCATATGAAAACCTTTCAACTCTCAGGAAAAAGCTCGATTAAATTAACTGGGTTTCTCTGATCACCATTGTATCTTTTATTATTCGACTCTAATGCTTCACAATCTAAACTTAATTTATTCAGCACTTGACAGTGACCTTATTTCCTTACAACGCTTTTTCTTAATTGTTTACGAAGTGTAATAAAGAATGTGACGATTTAATCATTCTCTGTGAAGAAAATACTGGCGAATGGATTCAGAATGCTAGGTCATCTGCTTTGACTAACAGTGGCAATCCTCAAACTGAATCATCTACGAATCCTGATGACGATTCCTTGTAAGTCTTAAAGTATGTGATTATAATAACATTTTACTTTTTTTGTCACTTGCCAAGTTGCTTAACGTTGTATGTTATCATCATGTAACATCAAGTCAACTGATAGAATGATAAATATTAGAAGTCATTAGAAATGTACATAGACGCACATACCGGTGAAATTAACACTTATAGTTCTATTGGCTGTTTTGTCATCATTAACTATAACAACACCTTTTTACAACTGAATAAAAATGATTTTTGTGGGTCAGTAACTATCATTCATAGTATATTAAACACGATTATAGACAAGGGAGTTAGTGTAATTGTGTTATTATTTGTTTGTAATTTGTGTTATTATCATCTTAGGATGATTGGTATCTAAACTTTATTGCGAATAAATGATTTAATTTCTAAGCCAACTTCTAGCCCCCAAATGCCCTGGTACAGCCGAAAGTGGGGAGAGTCAACTTTCCCTCTCGAAATTCTCTCACTTGGCCACATGCATAAAACCACTGCCAAGGAAGTCCTTTTCACTTCCTTCTCGCAGCAGGAGTGTTGTTTACGAAACTGAAAGAAAAGCAGATGTCTGGCACTTTAACCGGGTGGTGGAAACGGAGCACCCATCTAGGAGAGTTGGAAAACCCTGATTCCAAATCAATGGTGCACATGGGCTCTAGGATTCTGAGGGAACAAATAGGGCATGGAACTATTGTTGGTCACCGGCTACCATAGGAATGCATTTCCTAACATTTCTTCACTGCCTCGTGGTTTAGACCTTTAGGTCAAAGGCTCGGCGTGTAGCCCCCTAAGAAAACAACCTGCTTCGGTTTCGGTGCCCGGGCAGTATTTCAGCCCTCACACAAATCGAATAATTTATGTGGTGCATATCTATTTGGTGCCTTCTTGTACCAATATTTATGTGCGTTTGAATTAACATAAAACCTCTAAAGGTAAGTGACAGACTTTCGATATCTGACCATGTATTTTGATAAGTCCCATAAAAATTTAACAGTGCATTTTCATCTGTACGCCAGTGAAACATGAGTTCATACACTTGCTAATATTTCAGTGTTAATGTTTCCAAATAATTTTTTTCACCCACCGACCAATCCAGTCAAGTGCCCCATTAGGAGGTACGCTTGTTTGAAACCTGTGGAAGCATTAATATTTGATCGATGGATCGAAAATTTCTGACAGGATCTAAGTCCTCTCCCATAGATGACTGAAAACATGACACGTAACAGGCAAAACAAATTGGTTACGAAAATGAACTAGCTTCCCTGTGACCGTAAGTATAGAAATATGAAATCGAATCTACGATAGTCAGTGTCAAGTTCTGTTTTAAAAGTGGCAATGTTAACTTTTCTTGGGAAAACAAAATGAGTTTCAGCCAGTAGTCTCTTATAAATATATGAAAAAACTTAATAAGTCACCATAGACTACGTAGTTCAACTAATAAAAAGGAAGTAATTTATAACGGTCTCTTACTAAATACTCACTTTGTTATTGTTCAATGCTAAATCCAAACGACTTTTAAAGTCCTTTTGAAGCTCCTCTTGTATTTGATTGGCTAAATCTTTTTCTTTGGAAAGAGATTCTTCTAACTTCGTTTTTACCTAAGAATTTATAACTATTGACAAAAGGCTGAACCTCATCATGTTTCGATTGCAATTCCCTGATAGCAAACTCATTCTCGGAGCGAAGACAATGTTCTTTAGCTGAACATGCTACTTTGAACGCTTGGAACTCGTCTTTTATTAACTTCGTACCCTAAAGGTGTAAAAAGGATGAAAAAACACACCTCCTCTGCAGATTTCAGAGACGACGTCAACCCGGGCAGTATTTCAGCCCTCACACAAATCTAATAATTTATGTAGTGCATATCTATTTGGTGCCTTCTTGTACCTATTTTTATGTGTTTAAATAAATAAATAATCGTCTACACATATAAATTGTATGCACAGAACACTATTGTATATTAATGTTGGACCTTTCATTTATTTTAGTGTCAAATGAACAGTGTGTATATTTTAATCTTGTTCTATTGATTATAGGAAGTTCGACTACAAACCTCCTGGGTCTACTGACAGTATAACAATAACCAATAATGATATTGAGTGTCTTGCACCTGGAGCTCTTTTAAATGATGCTATAATTAACTTCTATCTCAAATATTTGTATTTCGAAAAGCTCACAAGTTTCCAAAAACAAGCCACTTATTTGTTCAATGTATTTTTCTACAGTCGGCTGGCGAGTGGTGGTTATATATCGAGTGATGTACGTAGTTCTACATTCTCAACTAATTTACCAAAGACTTCAGAAACCACAGATGAGTATGTACAAATCTTACGAAGTTTGGTGTTTTTATTAATGTTATTTTTTGTATTATATCTACGTTCCGTTCCTCGTAAATTATATGTGTTCGTTAGAGTTTTAAATGTTATGTGTTTTTGTGTTTTACTTTCACTTTAAAATGAAATCTCACTTCAAAATTACAGGTATTTATTACACTGTTTATCGTCATAAATTGTATCGGATACCATACAATAACCAATCTTACTCTCTCTTCCATATCTCATCATCTGCCCATATCAATAAAAAATATGATAACTATTCAAGTAATAGACACATCAACTAAGCTCATATTGCTTTTACGACTTCGAAAATACATGCAACACTCACATTTTCACGTTGCATATATTCAGGCTTTGATTTTCAATGTATACCAATAATTTTTAACGCAACCGTAACACACCTCTATAGAGTCATACCATAGTTCAAAACCCGGCAAATATTGGTTCTCGAGAGACGTAATGGTTTTCGTTCTCGTCTAGGATGCATCCATCCGATCTTCACCCCGTTTCAAAGTTTAGAACACTGTCATTTTTATTACAGGCCAAAAATCATAGTGTTTCTTAACGTTAGTGCTCCCTTCACTTCTTTGGACAGGACTGTTGACTGAAATTGCCCATTAAAGAAGAGTTTGTTTAAGAAGTTTATTCACAACTTAAGAGACCTATATACGAATACCTCAGGTAGAGTGAGAGCATACAACCACCTTTCTCCATTGTTCTATTCAGGCAGTGGGGAGGCTACACAATCTCACCATTCGTCTTCAACTTTGCCATTGATGCGATTCTGGATACAGCTCTGATGGATGTATGTAATGGTGGTGTGGATTTGTCATCTGGAAAACGACACTTTGGCCTTGAGTGTGTGGACGATATTGTGTTACCGTGCGATGATATCAAAACCATGCAGTCCGCACTTAATCAGTTGGCAGTTAGTGTCCGTAGGTATGGCATGTGGTTAACACCTTCCAAGTGCAAAATACTTTTACAAGACTGGTAGCACCTACTGTGCTTGGTCATCGTTGTCTCCGAAGAATTGCTAACACCATCTTGAAACATCGACTTCGGTGACTTGGACATGTCTTAAGAATATCATCACAGTGAGTTCCACATCGTGCATTATTTGCCGATTCAATGACCAGTTGGAAAAAGAGGAGGGGTGGTCAGTGCACGACATAGTGTCGTGGTATGAAAGAAAGCTTTACAGGACTAGCTTCTGTTGTTGGTTCACGACTCCCTGGTTGGGGCTCTAGGTATGGTGCAACACAGGAGCTTGATATGTCATCAGATATGGCTCAGAACAGAAGCTAGTGGCGATCGTGTTGTAACCTTCTTTTACCTTCTTCATGAAAGTGAATGTAACTTCTTTAACTGAAACAATTTTTTCTAGTTGTATTTTTGTTGACTGAACTGTTTCTCCCATTATTATTTCACTCTCACACACTAATTTTCGTTCATTGTTGGTCTTCTTTTATTATACTCACCCTACATTCCTTATCCTTTCATAACCTCATTGTTATTGTGTGGCACACATATATTTGGTTCCCCCTTGTACTAATTTATGTGTTCAAATAAATAAATACCTTTCAATTTATTATTATATTAAATAAAAAGACCCTAATTTTAAACTGTATATATCAGGCTGTATCCGGTTAATTAAGTTGCTCCAAGCATATTCGAAATGATTTATATCAGCATAGAAAGTTACTGTATCCATAATAAAATCAACGTCGTTTATTGCTAATCAGGATCTTAACAGAATAACGATCTTGTATGGAGGAATGAAGATAGTTACAAGATTATACACAAAATATAAGCAGACTCAATATTCATTAGAAATACTGCGTATTAACAAGATGAAGTCTAAATCAGCATTTCAAGCTAGTCGATTAAATACTGACAACAGATATGAAGTGATATACTGATTTCGGGATCTAATGAGTTGTGAGTATTGAAGTGCTCTAATCAATAGTTTGGTAAGTTCCGAAAGAAAAACGATTGTCCCTCCTAAGGAGTCTTCCGGTTAAAATTGCGAGTGCCTTAAGATCTTACTATATCTCTATACAAATAATATTCATTTTCTAATAAACTTTCCTCTCTGGTTTTCTACTGGCAAAACCTGTAATCACTTTTTATTGGAGTAAACACCTCATTAAATCCATCATACTTTGTTGTTCTCAGTCAGTCTTTGGCAACTTTGAGATCTATAACAATTATGTATGGGATCAGGTTGTCGTGTCTTACATTATCATACCGAGAGAACAAGTTAAAACACGGGAAGCGGGAAAACTGGTTAAAATCTAACTAAGAGTTAAATGTTAAAAAGTACATGTGAAACCGAAGAATAAACTGTGCGGAATGATAATGAGCTCAACATTTACAGAAATATAAATAATCAGTTTGATTGCTTCAATGGGATCGATTTTGACCCTTGTCACCAAACCACGGATTACGACTATTGTGACTGGAAACAGTTGTGAACCTTGCCTTAACTCACCTAGCTCAGACTGGTTGTCAGTGACTCCATGAACTCATGCCATGTCTTCACTTGGCCGCCTTTAGCCTTCTAACCTAATTCTATGTTAACCAGAATCTAACTCTTATGAGTAGTTAGTGGTAGGATTTGCATAACATGGCTCAACCTCATGAATTGTTACACATTCCATCTATCGACTTTTTATTTGTTACTGCCTCACGAGTTCCAGGTTAACTGTTTTATTTTTATAAATTCCACTTCACAGAATTCTAATTACTCAGTGAATACGGCTGCCAGCCACCACATTAAAAAACATATTGATCATGTGTTTTTTTCAATTACTAAATGCTTATCCTTGATTTTGTCTCGTGACATTTTACAACTATCAGCACTAACTATAACAGCAAGAAATCCCATTGGTGATGTTTAGCATATCTGAGAAGCTCATAACGCATTAAAACAGTATTCATGATGTAGAAATATCTCCATACGATCATTAACGAATTGTAGGCTTTATGACAAATTAATTTTCCATATATCCATGACATTTCCTTGTTGTTTCTTATCAGACTATACGAAAAACAAGGTGGACTTGTCCAATCACTAATATACCCTAAAAATAAGGTGGTGAATGCATGAAAAATACTTCTAAAACTCACGAACAAAAATAACTATTGATTTCACCAATTCGAAAGATACCAAACATGTCACAAAAGTGATTAGAATACAACTCATTAACTAATCTAAATTGACATCTTTATATATCATTTAAGCGTGTAAGTTTCTTACAACTCCTCATAGGGATATCAAGGAACATAAAGATAAAGACTAAATTATCAATCATTAATAACAGGAAAGTTGAGTACAATAATTGGTCAACTTATTTCTCTCGATTTCACTAATAACATAATGTGGTGTTTGTTCTGTTAAGGAGAAACTGTGCAGCATTATCTCTGCTATTTTGCTGTACTCACTGAATCAGTAATTTATTCATCCGCATCGAAAGTTCTTAATGATCATTACGAAATTATTTCAACTGTAATGTCATTGCATCAAATTACGTTTATCTCTGCTAACCGCATGACACGAGTAAGCGTTAGTTGGGAAGATTTTCTCTATGTTTATATGATTGACAAATTCTCAACGAAATTTGAAAATAATCCGACAAGTATTCAAAAAAATTCTCAAGATACTACCACACCCTTCAGAAAATATTCAATTCTTCCATTTCCAATTCATGTTGTTTTCATAGAACAATTTTTGCTCAGCATGCTAATGTTGCGAAATGGACACGTCGAGTCGATCTTTTCAGTAAAGATTATATTATTATTCCAATTAACGAATGGTAGGTCTCTGAAAAATTTATTTTTTTAAACATGGATTGAATTATGTTAAGCTAATTGAATTTTTAGGATTATTTGGTTTACCATTGAACATTTTTCAAATTTTTCAATAGTGTTGTCAAACTTTTCTAGTATCACAATCCTCAGTAGTTTACTCAGAATCCATTCGAAAATGTCTAGGTCTCAAAGAGTACTGCTGTTCGCAGTACTGACCACGCAAAAAATGGACCACTTACATGAAAAACTTTGGTATAACCACTCATGAACCTCGTATTTCAGTGTTAGTTTTAACTGTGTTGATAAGGTCATTCACCTACTCTACTATTTTACAAAACAATACTGAACAGTCAATCAACTTCCATTAACTTGGTAGAATTGTTACGATAAACAATCAGAAAACTTGTTTTTCCATTAGTCAGAATTATTATGTGGTTGGACGCATCAAATGGTTTGTTCATTTTGACGGAAAATCCCCCCAATGAGCACCTTTGTCGTAGAAAATATTTGTCTACATATGTTGAGACTAATAATAGAAGTCTGTTCAGTACGATATATAATTACATTTTGCGGAATTATCAACATATAATATTGTAACAACTCACAGAATAGTAATTCCGTAAAACAACATGTTGCCTTTAAAGAAATCTAAAATATATCATAATCCAGAATAATATAACTCATTTATCGAGTACAGGTTTATGTACTTGGATTTTGTGTTCACTTTATTTGGTAAGAAAGTTGAGGACAACATGCAGTTGAGCGAATCAAAGTTAACGAAACACACAACAAATCTCAAGTGTGATTTTAAAATGTATTCCTTAACCACTGAATGCTTGCCCCACGACATAACACAATTCCTCCAACGAAGTCCCGAGTAATATGACCACAGTATTTCTTCTGAATGATTAAACTTAAAATAGGTTCGACGCCGTTTTCTTTGTTGAATTTCTAGACTGGATGTTTAATGTTTCTGAAAGTCATTTATGTTGATACTGGTATGTACTACTGTCAGTTTATTTTTAAATAAGTAATCAGATGATCGTTTAATTATTGATTTAAAAGTTTGAATATTCCTTCATCTACGTCGATTTGTTTAGGCGAGTCGTATCATGAACTCTTACACTAGAAATACTGACGGAAATCAAGTACATTAAATTAAACTTGGTAGATAGGTTATACTAAAAATATAGTTCTAGTTACATTTGTTCACTTAGTCACTACTACAATTGTTTATTGTTCTTTAGTATTTAAATTAATCCACCGTCACTGATTCTGATTGTTTACCTTTTATAAACCGCATGACATTCTGTATATTCAGATTGATTGGTCGTCATTGTTAAAACTCTTTCAGTGCACATTGGTTTCTTGGTCTTGTCTGCTATCCATGGATGGCGGGAATGGTCAGTTACACTGCTCTCTATCGTGAAGAAGTCTATCATCTCTGCCAGTTGACAGAAAAATTTACTAATGTCGATCGCATCAACTTCTCAGGCGACGATTTAAATTCCCTAGATATTGGTGAAGAAGTTATTCAAAGGTTGCCTACCGACACTCCAGTAAGTAATCAATCAGAAAATTTTAACATTTATACAATTGCGCGAAACTTTTAAAATTCAAATTTGAGAGCTTTGCATCTGTTTTGTTAAAATATATTCATGCCAAGTTTTACATGTACCTATAAAAATTGTTGCTCTGGTTCTTAGAAAAGGCATCAGCCTCGTGACTTACTAAGAATCTCGGCTTTCACCATGAGGCGTCATAATTTATGTTATTTATGTTATGCACCTACCAATGATAATAACAATGACAGTAAAGGTCAGTTATATGAGCGGCTGCAATTAATCATAGCAAAGTGCCCAAGAAAGGCTCTCACCATCCTGATGGGAGACCTAAACGTCAAGGTTGGAATGGACAACACTGGGCAAAGCAAGGACTGCATTCCTACAATTGAAGAACATATGGCACTCAAAACAACAGTCAGCCAACATCAAAGTGAGAATCTTCAATACGAACGCTAAGACAGTCCTACTGTACGGGGCTGAAACTCCGAGGACTACCACAACCATTATCAAAAAGGTACAAGTATTTATAAACAATTGTCTACACAAGATACTCAATGTTTGTAGGTCGGATACCATCAACAACGACCTACTATGGGAGAGGTCAAACCAGCTTCGAGCTGAAGAGGAAATCGGGAGAAGACATTGGAGGTGGATAGGACATACATTCCCTATCTGTTGAGTAAATCGTAAAAGGCCTGGGACCTATTTCTAAGGACTATCTTGAATTCGTTGAGTTTGTCAGTATCCCGAAGAATGGGTGTATTGAACTTTCGTGATGTTGTGTGCCCCGTTCTTCAGTTCTTCTTGAGTTTCAGTTTCATCTTGGAGACCAGCAAGTGATAATCTGAGGCTATATCAGCTCCTTTCTTGATTCTCACATCTTCCATCGTCCTCCTGAACTTTTCGTTGATGCAGATATGTTCGATTTAGTTCTGTGTAGTATGATCCAGTGCAATCCATGTGGCTTTGTGTATGCCTTTATGTGGGAATATGGTGCCCCCTGCGACCAGTTTATTGAAGGCACATAGGTCCGCAAATCTCTCACCATTTTCGTTCCTTTCTCCTAGTCTGTGTCGTCTTATGATGTCTTCATATCCGGTGTTGTCCATTCGAACCTTGGCATTTATGTCCCCCATGAGAACGGTCGAGTCCTTTGCTGGGCATTTCTCAACGATTGACTGCAGCGCATCGTAGAGTTGATCTATAACGTCTTCATTGCAGTCGTTGGTAGGCCTTAGTAATTTTCGAGTGAAAAGAATGATCCTAATGATAGCAGTCAATCAATCTCTACTGAGGCGCAGTATTTTACATCTGCACATTGAATCTTAGTGGCTGGAGCAGTATATCTTGCTTGTTAACCCCTTAACGACGTAGAGTTTTCTCCATATGTTAGCCGAGAAGTGTTCAGTGTTCATCTACATTGCAAGTCAAGTTGATTCTACAAGAACTCACTCTTATACAATGTTCCCCATCTCCAGAGATCTTCGTATTACAGACGGTCAGTCGATTAAGCTTAAAGCATGTTTCCATAATTCATATGTGCCAGTACATCCATAAGTTATTCGTTGTTAGTATCAGTATTAATTGATGACTACTTAATTTTTGTATCTCGCAGATAATTAATTTCCTTTTCTAATAACAGTGTCGTTTACCTTGTCTGACGAAAACATCTTAATAATTCACTCTTGTACGGAAGATACTGTAGGGCCAGTGTAATGTCACTGAGTCATAGCCAAATCATCCGGCAGTTGGGTCACTGAATATCAAACAGTTCACCGATCTTCGTCAAAACCAACGACAACTAACGCGCATCAGTTAATTGCACGCCATTGACTGGTCCATGCGGTTAGCTGGCTGATCCAACTCCAGCTGGCTGCCAATCATTCGATATAGATCATCTACTTTAGTGATCTACAATACCTTGCTTTATATACCTTTTAGGCGGTGTTAACATTGTTAGCTGATATTGTATCTGAGCATGCAAGGAAAGACCTGATCTGTCATCAGTGTTGCATCTGCAACAGAATAATAGTATTTTCTTTGCAATTACTAATGGTCCTATAGATATTAATTCAGTAGTGTTTTAATGTAACATCTGGTTACGGGACCACACATTAAAAACAAAACAGTTGAACAAATGATACTTCTGGACACAGTCCATGGTTTTATTACGTGTTAAAAAGAGTTACTTCGACATATATCTATTTCTGAAAACATAAACAGAGGAATAAACAGATGCAGGGACTACTGTGTTGATGTTTTTGCAAAATATAGACGTAACGATTAATATAACTGTCCCAATTCACAGAGTCAGAAAATTGAATAAAATCCGATTCATTATTGAAGCACAACAAACGGCTAGACTACTTTACAAAAATTTATTGTCCAACACCAAAAGAAAACTGTTGACAACGAATAATCAATCGGTGCCTGAAAAGCAAACACTCGTTACCAGTTTGATTTGTTACAATATGTGCAACCATACATTGATGATGAGTAATCTTTGTACTTCTTGTTTGACTACAAATCATAATCATTGCTACCATAGAATTGTACTATCTGTTCATTTTTCCAAACAGAATTTCTGTTACGATGTAACTATTAGGGGTAATTTGTATGGAACTGATAGTGATAAGTGAGTGTCGAATGACGAATAGTAACAGCAAATTAGTCAGTCATCTATATGACTAATAAGCAATGAATGGTGAGTGTAGTACTGATAAAAAATGTCTTGTACTTTCCCTCAATGCTTGTATAAATAACTGTACATTTAGTATTTTTGGTATTTTTAGGTTTCTATAACGACTCAAGCCACTTAGCTATAAACCGATTTAATTAACTATTTAATTCCAGTTGTGTGTTTATTTAGTTTAAACAGATCCTCGGTTCTGATAATTTCCCTGTTTCAACGTTTATTATGTTACGACTTTTTCTGACATAAATATATTTTTCCCACGCTTTGAATTCCCATTCATAATTTCCCAGATTTTGTCATCTAATACTTTGAACTAGAAGTGACTCTTCTGGAGACAAACCTTGAGAAACATTACGGCGTGATTGTCCTTACCTTGTATCTAATAAACTGTTGTTGTATGAGGATTTGAGTGTTAAGGAACTGACGTAAACTAGGGAAAGCAAGATGTGACTACCCACTGAGTGTGGACTGAAAAATACTCAACTTACCATTAAATGTGTGATTTCCCTCCTGTTATTGACTTCTACTCCAAACTCACCGATTCCATGCTGGGTGTAATTGTGTCAAACAAAGTATTTTTTAGTCTACACTCTGGTTCTCTATATTTAGTTGTGATTCGTGTATTTAATATGACGTTATCCCAGTTTGTGTGTAGCGTATCGATCGAGTATCCAATCTAGTGGTAGTATAGTCTCAGTCACCGATCTTATTATCATATTATAGTGGTATATCATGGAAATGGAAAATATTTTTATTCCGCCATTATATCAGAAACCCACAAATTTCAATCACGACTGTTACCCACCTACTAGCCTCACGTAAACACACCTTTTAGACCGAACGGTTTTCCACCTTTTTTCTGGGGTCGGATATGCACGGTTAGTGTTCACTACATAAATAAATTATTATTTCAATTATTGATTGTCAACACGGGACCTATTCTTCCATTCTAGGGTGAAGCATTTGATCGGTGGCGGCGAAGACGTTTAGCCTGGCTTCGTCAACGTGGTGTTAACGCAATGTAAGTTGTTTTTGTTACTCCATAGGAGAAATCAATATTCCCAAATCTACTTACTAGAACATAAGTCTAGTTTGCATGTGCGGAATTATTACTCAGTCTATTCCGTCTATCAACCAAAGGACGTGCATACTGCGCAGCAGTTCGTTCCGTCCTGCTTTATGGCAGTGAAACATGACCGATAAGATTAGAGGATATTCGTAGGTTACTAGCATTCGATCATAGGTGTCTTCAAAACATTGCTCGTATATTCTGGAACCACTGAGTAAGTAACTCAGTTGCTAGGAAACGGGTACTAGGTAAGGATGACAAATCAGTTGAGGAAGTAGGAAAACTTCATCAGTTGAGATGGCTGGGATATGTGTTACGTATGCCCAACCACCGACGTGCGATGTTTTCTGGTGTAGGAGTAGGTTGGAAGAATGCTAGGGGTGACCAGACCAAAACATGGCACAAGTCCATGAAGTCACTGACAAGTGGACTGAGTCATGTTGGTAGATGTAGACTACCTGGTTGGTATCCGCGAGACGATAAAAACCGATGGTTCGAGACCTTGAATGACATGGCTCAAAATCGTTTGTAATGGCGCAGGTGCATCTACTCTTTGTGTTCTCCCAAATTCTAATCTCCTGATTTCTTCATGTCCCCTTTTTTTCTCTTTCCAAATTCATTTCACTGGATTATACTCCTCAAATAAAAACTTCAAACCCTAATGTTTCCGATTACTGCTTATACTCTTACTACCTCTATCACTAAGAGATTTGGGTCGACAACTGCATCTCTGTGCTAATGTGGTATGGCAACTCGGACTGATGTACGTACGTACGAAGTTCTACGTTGTCACTGACGGACTGACTCAGTCTGTTCAGTCGAACTACTATGTGAAAATTAAGCAACACCTTTTTCTATTTAACTTGTATTGTTAGTTACATAGAGTTCATATTCTTGTTTCTGTACCAAAAACTTTTCGGTTCACAGTTGTATACTGTATTTCCAATGCCATATACTTGACGTTAACTCGTACCTCAATATTTTTATCAGTTGGTCCAAAATATAACCCTGTGGCAAGTAAATAACTTGATATTTTAGAGACTTTATAATCACTCTCACATGTATATATTCTATTTAGTTAGCTTTATTTTTTCTTTGTAACTGTTACTAAATCCCATTATTTTGAAAAAACCCTGAATAGGCCATGTGTTTTACTATTCGATTCGCTTCCTTGTCAAAGCCGAGTTGGCAATTTGCATGTTATTCGAAAGTAAGTTACCTCTATTTTTTTCAGCATTATTTATTCAATAAAGCCATCAAATCTTACTTTACGAACATTATTCTCCTTGAGATCTCACTGTCCCACCAAATAGAGACATTCGTATTGAACTTTCAGATAATTTTCACTGTACTGAAACCTCTTTGATTAAACTCGACATCTTATTGTTGTCACAGGTCACTAGTCCGTGACTGTAATTTTTGATTATTTCAGTAGAAATATGACTTGACTTTTAAAACATATAATTTGTGATTTTAGACAGGAAAATTTATTAATGTCTCGTGTATGCACATGCAGCAAGTTACTGCAATGCCCCATTATTATTGGCGTTAGCATTAGCACAATTGATCAAACATATTAGCATTAACCAGATTACTCGTAGTATCATCGTACCGTTTAATCGTTACTGAGATTATTGCAAGGAATCACTGCCATGTGCTAGTTGGATGTATACGAAGAGTTTATCAGATGAAATAAAGCAGAATTAATTAAATACAATCAAGTCACTCTGTAGACCGCGAGATTCTGTGGCAGTGTCTGTCATTGAAAGCGTACCTCAGAAGTACATAAACCTTGTGAAGGCTCTTTACTCGAACACTACTAGTCGAGTCAGGGCTTATGGCGAACTGTCATCTACTTTTGCAACTTCAAGTGGTGTCCGTCAAGGCTGTCCACTTTCTCCATTTTTGTTTAACTTCATCGTAGACCTATTGGTAGAAATAACATTCTCGTCGACTGAGTTCTCGGGTATTGATCTCCTTCCAGGAGGTCCACTTATCGACTTAGAATACGCAGATGATATAGTCCTGTTTGGTGAAGAGGCTGACAAAATGCAGAGTCTTCTGGTAGCACTAAGCAACAATGCCAGAATGTTTGGGATGCGCTTCTCTCCCTCTAAATGCAAGTTGTTGCTTCAGGACTGGTCTGCGTTAACACCTGAACTAAGGATAGGGAGTGAAGTAGTCGAACGCGTTGACAACTTCACTTATCTTGGAAGTCTGATCAGCCGTAATGGGTTGGTATCTGACGAAATCTCAGCACGGATTCGAAAAGCTCGTTTGGCTTTTGCCAACTTACGTCACCTTTGGCGGAGGCGAGATATCCGTCTATCAATAAAAGGACGAGTATACTGCGCGGCAGTCCGTTCTGTCTTACTTTACGGCAGCGAAACATGGCCTTTAAGAGTAGAAGACACCCGTAAGCTACTAGTATTTGACCACAGATGCCTTAGAAATATTGCTGGCATCTGCTGGGATCACCGGGTAAGTAATAGTGAGGTTAGACGCAGGGTATTAGGGAATGATGGTAAATCAGTTGATGAGGTTATGAATCTTCATCGACTGAGATGGTTGGGCCACGTGTTACGTATGCCTGAATACCGATTACCACGACGTGCAATGCTGACCGGTGTTGGAGATGGTTGGAAGAAAGTTAGGGGCGGCCAAACCAAAACGTGGCATCAGTGCTTGAAGTCACTAACTTCTAGTCTTAGCCATGTTGGTAGATGCAGACTACTTGGTTGGGGTCCTCGTGACTTTCGTAACCAATGGTTGGAGACTCTTGGTGACATGGCTCAGAATCGATCACAATGGCGTCGGTGTATACACTCTTTGTCTTCCCTTAAACTAAGAGATTAAAATTGATTCATATCTTTCTTTCTACGAACTAATTCTTCCTTCCTATACTATATTCTTATTGCAACCTTTGACCTAACCACTCCTATGAATCCTGTGTTCATCTTGTTGTGCTAATGAGGTATGGCAACCTGGACCGATGCACATATGTGCCTGGTCCTACGTTGTAGCTGACTGACTGACTGACACCCTAAGAATGGACGCTCAGTTAGACCAGAAGTACTTTTTTGAAGAGGAATCGACTCATATGTATAAAGCACCTGGGTAAAGAAAGTTATACTAGTGTGCCTAATTTAACTTTGAATAGAAAGAAGCAGCAAGCGCATGGTTGTTTACCGAACAACATGTTCGGAGGTGTAAATAAACCCAGATCATAACAGTTGTGAAAAATGTTTGGAGACAAAAAATTATTAAGGAGAGTAACTCGTACCAGTAATTGGGTGACTATTGTTTACTGTGAGCAAACTAGTCTTGCGCAAGAACAAAAAAGATTACTTCTCCTTCTGTAACTGCTAGGAGTAATTACTTTACAACGAGAAGAAAGTTGGTTCGCTGTCTTTGCGAATATCTAAGCGACATTGTCTAACCACAAATTACTACATATCACAATATCACTCGATAGATCTATCTATAATAAGGCATAATAATGACTGTTAATTACTCTATTAATTAAACTAACTAGAAAACTACTAATAAACACAAATAAATAAAATATTTAACCTTCCGACTTCCATGCTTTGCAATCTGGTTTCGCGACTGCTCCACTAACACTTGTTATATCGATTGATTTATCATAACATTGAGGAGGGATTCTATGTAACACATATATCAGTTGTGAGAGCACCCAAAATCTGCTACGATCACATCTGAAATGTGATCAGAGTGTGACTCGTTTAGAACATTTTTCTCACACTGACTAGAGGTGAGTGAATTGTGAGGATAAATAACACTTGATATGGGTCCATTAGAACTATAATTAGATTTGAACCCATTGAGAATTCGTGCATCATATTGACTAATTTTTCACGAGAAACAAATGCATCGTGAGAACAAGCAACATTTGTTATTATATCGCTGGAATTTGATACATTCGAAACATTTTTCTCAAACTCATTAAGGACTTCATTAGGAATTAATGAATCATCAAGATAGTCAGCATCTGATATGACATCATTAGGAATTTGATCAGAAATTAATTCATTTGAAACATTTGTCCCACCCGACTTGACTGGATAATTAGAATGAGAGGGATGTGACAAAAGAACATTTGAACATTGTCCAGAGTCAACATTATTAAGGATTTCATGCAATTGGTTCACTTTATGAATTTAAATAAAGCAAGAACAAATATTGGTGCAGAATAGTATGAATTCATATTATTTCGAGGTTTGTCGTCAGTTGCTTACAAACCAAAAATGTGTTAGAATTTTTACATCGAGATAGTGTGTAAACAATTGACATGGATGAGTGTAAATAACAGGATTACAATAATAACTATATATATATATCTATGCTAGAACAGGTCAGAGGTTAAAAAAGGAATTAATTCAGGGTGGGTGGTGTAATAGTTTAGTGAAGTCCATAAATTGTATGATGATTTTGGAGATTAATGAAATTGGATAATCATAAGTTAGGTTACGTAATAATTAAATCGAATTTGAAAAGTTAAGATAATTTAAGAGGATCAGGTGGTGGAAATGTGTGAATAATAATGTGTTTTTTGGTTGAGATCATGAATTAATTGATGTTAGACCACCGTTGGAAATCTGGAAGAACTGGACGGCCGTTTCGTCCTAGTATGGGACTCCTCCTAGGACGAAACGGCCGTCCAGTTCTTCCAGGTTTCCAACGGTGGTCTAACATCAATTAATTCATGATCTCAACCAAAAAAACTTAACAATCTCCACAACCCCCATACTGATAATAATAATGTGGTTTAAGAATTATGTAATAGGGGAGGAGTATAAATATTTTAAAATAAATAAATGAATAAAATAACCCAAATAACCAAAATACGCACACAAAAAAGGGGGTTACCACGGTAGTGATAAGTTCATTCAAGTCTCTTTTTGAATTCATAAATTCGGTTTAAGTTTTTTGATCACAATGGCTTCAGCAAAACGGAGGGTGGTCGTACTTCTTTGTCTGTTGATAATTTTGAAAGCGTGCGGAATGTCGACGGTGTGCCCGGTGTCAAGTAGATGTCGAGCTATTGCGTTGTTGAAAGTCTTAGTCCCTCGCAGTTTTTTGAAACACGCTCAGAAATTCGGACATGCACTCTCCTCTCAGTTCTTCCAATGTATGTGTTTGGCACGTACATGTGAATTGGTAAATGCAGTTGGAGCTATTAAGAAAAGAGGACTTGTCGATTTTGGTTTGTTTAAGTGAGCAGTTCGTTTGCCATACTGTCATAAGTTTTGCTGCTGAGTAGGTCACTTTCAACGCACAGTTTAGTCTGTGATTAATTATTCCGGCAATTTCATCACCTTTGAAACGTAAGTATAAGAAGCAGGTTTTCTTTTCTACTCCATCGTATTTTGTGCGAGGATTATTATTAAGGAATTTGTTGACCTCTTCCTCATTCACAAAACTGTTCCTTACTGTATCAGTTAACTCGTTAAGTGTATCTAGAACTTTTGAGTGCGATTCCAAATTTGATTGTTTAAGCATATGTTCGTTCGATGCACCGATGAGCATTAAGTGGGATCTGATTAACAAATAAATCTTCAATAAACTGAAGCATCCGTTTTACTTTTGCTGCTGAAACTGACATGTTCTCACATTAGTAACCGCGTCGTTTATTGTAACAGAGACTTGATAAATAAGAGCAGAATTATATTTATAACTGAGGAAACAGGATTTGGGGTAAGTTGAACTGAAAACTGGGTTATAACTGGAAACAGACAGTTATGTTGGAAACTGAAGCTTGTAAATTGACCCAGTCAGCGATTGTTTTGTTTTCTTTTTTTCCGAAATTCCTGTCGTCAGTTGTTCTATCTAGTCGTCGCTAATTGTTATGTCAGAATCGCTTATTACTTATACCTGTAAAACGGTGAACCACTGCCATTCCCATGACGTAAAGAACACCAAGACCGGTACAAGTGATTTATTAACCCCAAAACATAAAAACGACCCTGGTTAACAATAAATTCATTTGTATATTGACAGTACACCCATTTTGATTATTAATTAGAACAAAGTCACATATATGAGAAATACGTAGAGTTATAACAAATCGTATGCTGCATGTCATGTTGAGCATAGTTCATGTTAACTTAATACAAGAATATCGTATCTTGAACAAAAACCACAATGAGTAAAAGAATGTAACTTTGGTTTTTAATCCCACTATATTGTAGACCACTAATAAACACATATAAATGCAAATATTTTATTTTTTGTTTATTTCAGTTATTTACAAGCTGAATGGAATACTCGCAGATCAGCCCAAGATGGTGTTCTCCGCTTCGATAAGGATACAATTCGAGGTTTTAGTCCTCGAGTGCCTGTTCAGAGTAACCTGGTTGATTGTGGAATCTACCTACTTCATTACGTGGAAATGTTTTTCAAGGTGAATTTAATTGTTTTGACATACAGTAGTTAATTATGGGTGTAAACTTGATGTGTTATTGTTAACATGTAACTTGTAAATCTGAATATCGGTCATTTATTTCAGGCTATCAAAGTGTGTATGGTCCTTCGCTTGATGGGCTGGGCCTAATACAAATGAATCGTACCTGTGGTTAGAATTATATGTTTATTATGTACCTAGTGTGCTCATTCTGATGTAAACCTACGGAAACCAATCTTTGTACTATAGTTACTGTATATACTTGGGTGTAAACTCTCATCTTCTGTATAATATTCGCTTATATAGATTTCTAAAATAATATCAGAAAATTCTATCCATATTAATGATCATTTGTCCATTTCTTTATATGCATTACCTTAGTAACTGATGACTTGTAACCCCTAATATACTTATTGGATTGCTCTTAAAATTGTTTCATACGCGACCCTGCAGTTTACTTTTGTCGACAGTGTTTTTGTGAAATAATCTATCAATAACTGACCGAAAAGTTAACTCTATCACTTATTCGCCTTTTTACCACTGGTTAATATATTTTTAGAAACCTGTTCAAAGTTATACGAAGGATTATTTCCAACACGAAATGGCTGGTTGGTTTCCAGAAGCTACTGTCAGCCAGAAGCGTGCCCAAATCCGTGACATTTTGGTTAACCTACGAGAGCGTACACTGAGGGAGAAGGCTAAAAATTGATTCCAATACAAATCACTGTAACACTATTCCTCTTAATAACTTACGAAATTCAATTCTTCAAATGGATATAACCACCCCATCTTCTTGTATATAAATACACTCCCATCGTTCCTCTTGCATTTCGATTGTCTTTTTCGACAGTGTGATTGGTTCGGAGACTACTACTAAACTATTATTGACACTTTTTGTATTACAATTCTTTCAGTCGAATATTTGCCTTCGACTTATTTTAAAACACTGGGCTATCATCAAATGAATCTTAATACATTTGTTAAAACTAACTGTGAACGCACTACTGTGTGATTTTATAGTTTTACTATTTGTAATACATCACTGACACCAACCATAACGGTCATTGTAAAGTTTTTCTTTCTGCACGCTATTATTATTTTCATAAAAGCAGGAAACTAATAATGAGTATTTGTGCATGTTTCTGTATTTTCCAATTTCCCAACTGCATTGTATGTCACACAGGTGAAGTTATTAGTGGATATATCGACCAATCATGTGTAATTGATTGATGCACTACTGACTATATGTAACCCATTGAATTCAGTTAGGAATTCAAAAAACACTAAACTACAAAATTAGTGAGTAACTGATACCGAAAGCGTATAAAGTTCTATGAACGTATGCCATAACACTGAGGAACCTACCTCCAGTAAAGTGTTGCACAGCCATATGCGAAAACAGAGCGAAGTACCTTGGAACGTCTTTGCTCGTTTACAGACAGACAGACACCGTTTGTTCAACATACGTAACGAAAGTTTACAAAATCCAAACAAGGTTTTCATCCGTGTCAAAATTCTGTCGTCTTTCTATCGCCCAATACCAATGGAGCTGCCAAGGTGAGTATCGTCAGTGTGCTGAACTACTTACCTCCATATGTTCAGACTAAAAACTGACCCACTGTAGTTCTAAAGCATTTCGAATTGTTGGAGACCCAGCTAACACTAATGTAGTCCTCAATACATTCAGACGAGTTCATTTCACTGACGTCTTACTCAAACAGAAATATGCCACCTGAGTAATCTAAATTGATTGATCTCACATTGCCAGATTATTGCCTATCGAAGGTTTTCCTCGGGCGGAAGAGTTCATGTACCTATCCTGCAATAGTGTACGTCTTTTAAAATTTCTATCCACAACGTTCATACATCGAAACTGATCGAACAACGGACATTTACGACTAAGACTAACGTCTCGCAACGATGTGGAAAACTTTTTATTTATTTATTTAATTTGAACACATAAATATTGGTACAAGAGAGCGCCAATATATATGCGCCACACAAAATAGTGAGAATGCGAAGAGAAATAAAAAAAATAAGGAGAGCAAAAGAAAAAGGGAACAATAACGAAGAGATTGGTGTAAGGTAATGTGGTAGTAACGAGATACAATCAGAAGAAATCTTTCAGGTAAGGGAGACACAACCACTTTTTATGAAGAAAGTAAAAGAAGGTTACAGCAGGATCTCCACTGGCTTCTATTCTGAGCCATATCTGATAACGTCTCTAGCCACTGTGTAGCACCATCTCTCGGACCCCAACCAGGGAGTCGTGAAGGACTGACAGAAGCCAGTCCTTTGCAGCTTTCGTGCCACGACACCATGTCATGCACTGACCACCTCTCCGCTTCTTCCAACCAGTTCCAGAGTCGGCAAATAATGCACGACGTGGAATTCTCTGGGACGACATTCGTAGAACATGTCCGAGCCACCGATGTCGGTGTTTCAAGATGGTGACGCCAATTGAATTATCATCTCTGTGTCCGAACACACGATGCCGAACCTCTGCATTACTGACATGGTGTTGCCACTGAATGTCAGCAATCCTTCGGAGACAGCGATGATCGAACACAGAGTTGTCTAACGTCCTCAACTCGGAGAGGCCAGGTTTCACAAGCATAGAGCAGAACTGCTCTAGCCGACGCGTTGTAGATCCGACCGTTTACAGCCAGACTAACATCACGAAGGCGCAAAAGGTGGCCCAGATTGGCCTAAGCCGCTTTGGCTTTCACTATTCGTGCATTGGTCTCATCACTCACACCCCCACCAGTACTTATGCAGCTACCCAGATACACGAACTTCTCGACTACGTCTATCTTCTCACCACCCAGGGTGAGTACAGGATTAGAATCCTGCCAGTCTTGTAGAAGTACTTTGCACTTGGAAGGTGCAAAGCATATACCATACCTACGGACACTGATTGTCAACTGATTAAGTGCGGATTGCATGCCTTGGGCATTATCGCACAGTAAGAAAATATCGTCCGCATACTCAAGGTCGAGAAGTCTTTCTCCAGGCAACAGATCCACGCCATCATTACTTACATTCATCAGAGCTGTTTCTAGAATGTCATCGATGGCAAAGTTGAAGAGGAATGATGAGATCGGGCAAACCTTGCCTAACCCCACTGCTCGAATGGAACAATGGAGAAAGGTGGTTGTATGCCCTCACTCTGCCTGAGGTGTTTGTATATAGGGCTTTGAGGATGTTAATAAACTTCTCAGGCACACCCTTCTTCAATAGACAATCCCAGAGAACAGTCCTGTCCAACGAATCGAAGGCAGCCCTGATGTCAAGAAATACTACGATTGTTGGCCTTTGATAAGTATGGCGGTGTTCTAACATTTGGCGGAGGGTGAAGATATGATCAATACATCCTCGACCAGAACGAAACCCAGCCTGCTCCTCGCGAGTCAATCTTACTCGGGTTTTGAACAACCTACGAAGTATGACGGAAGCCAATAGCTTGGACGCAATCGGAAGTAGACTTATCCCCCGATAGTTGTTGCAGGAACGACGTGAACCCGTTTTAAAGATAGGGACAACTATCGACTCATTTCATGACGTTGGTACACCCTCTAGTTCCCAGACCTTTGTAAACAACGTCGCCAATTCCTTAGTCAAAAAGTCACCGCCATCTCTAAAAAGAGCCGGAGGTAAGTCATCTGGGCCAGGTGATTTGTAACGCTTCAAGAGTTGGAGTTCCTTGCGGACTTCCTCCTCGTTTGGTGGGTCAGTCGTCACCGGCCATGGAGGGCAGGACAGTCTGACCGATGTTGCCGGAGCAGCAGGCCAGTTGAACTGCCCTTCGAAAAATTCTGCCCACCGTCCAAGACGTCGATGGATGTTAGTGATTGGCATCTCATCATCCTCGCAGATTGTTTCACTCACACCAGACTTCTTGCTGCCAGTAGCTTGGATGAGCTGGAAGAGCTTCCGGTAGTTACCAGATGCAGCTGCTGCTTCCAGCTCATTAGCACGCTTCGACCACCAGGCTTCTCGGTCCTCACTTCGTTGTCCACTGAAAAGTAAGGCAAGATTGGCGCAGACCAAGGCATGGTCAGAGTCCAGATAGGTACTCGAAAAGGAGCGGCAGTCTTGTACACAACCACGCCAGCGGTAGCTGGTCGCGATGTGATCAATCTGAGTCCAGGCTTGAGATGCAAAAGGAGGACGCCAGGTGGCACATCGGCGATGACTGTGCCGAAAGTTAGTGCTAGCCAGATACAGGTTGTGGTCTGTGCACAGTTGCAGTAGACGGTCCCGGTTATCTGACCTGCGACCAACGAGTCCCCATCGGCCACCTAAACGACTCTCTTCTGTGCCTAGACGCCCGACCTGAGCATTCAAGTCTCCGGCTAGTACCACAATATCTGTCGAACGCACTTTCTGGAGAAGAACAGATAACTGGTGGTAAAACTCATCCTTGATTGCATCCGGGCTGCAATCTGTCGGGGCATAGGCGGAGATGACGAAAAGACATCGTTTCTCACGCCGATTTCTTCTCACTTTGATGGAACTTTCTAATCTAACAGCACATAACCGACTGTTAATGGGGATCCAATCGACTAGTGCTGCCTCAGCTCTAGCGGTTAGTGCGACACCAACGCCAGCAAGACCAGACGAAGATGCCACAGGGTCCCCGGATAAGCGCACGTAAAACAAGGTTTTCGAAGCGACAGATGTAGAGCGAATTTGTAGTACTGCACCAGAGTCTTGAATACAGATCTCGGATAGACAGCAAACATCGATATTAAGACTTTCTAAAGACATAGCCAGCCCTATCTGTTGTCCGACCTGCATAAGTGTGCGAACGCTGAAGGCAGCCAGTTTGAATGGTGCACCTGGTTTCAGAAAAACTGCTTCAGTTCTCGTATTCGGTGGTAACATACAATTTTCAACTAGACAGTGACTCGAGAACGTTTAGATATAGTCGAATTTCCACCAAAGACGAGCCACTGTATAAGTATAAAAGAGGGTGAATAATGTGGAAAATAATAATAATGACAATAATAGTAATAATAATAATAGTATTAATAATGACAATAGTTGTAATGATAATAATTTGAATCAATTGGTTGTTTTTCGAAGCGAGAAAAGTAATTTCCATAGACATAAAGAGTTCATCATTTGTGTGTGGGCTGTGATACTGCCCGGGTGCCCAAACCGAAGCAGGTGGTTATCTTAGGGGGCCACTCCCCGAGCCTTTGACCTAAAGGTCTAACCCACAAAACAGTGAAGCATCGTAAGGAGATGCAATCCCATGGTAGCCGGTGACCAACGATTGGTTCATACGCCATTTGTTCCCTCAGGATACTGGACCCCATGTGCACCATTGGTTTGGAATCCGGTTAAAGCGCCGGACATTCGCTTTTCGTCCTCTCATTTTCGTAAACAACACCCCCGCCACGAGAAGGCAATGAGTAGGACTTCCCTGGCAGAGGCTGTACACGCGCGGCCGTGTGAGAGTATTTCGAGAGGGAGAGCGGACTCTCCCACTCTCGGCCGTACCAGAGCATTCGGGGGGCTGAAAACAATGTCTTCTCGTTGTGTTCACCTATACTCTGATTATTTTGCTACCGTCAAAGTAACTGTTTCTATGAATTCGGTGTCCAGCTTGTACTATTGAGGTGTGGCAACTTAGACTGATGCATATATGTGCCTGGACCTACGTTGTAGCGGACTGAAAGCGATGGCAACTCATTGATCCCA